TTGCGACTGGAAGACAGCTTTTGAAAGGTTTTTTTATACGAGGGTTTGCTTCTGTGATTTTCTGTTAAACTCAAAGTGATTTCTACAGAATAGATTAAAGAGTAGAATAGGTTAAATATTCTCAAACTCGTCAATAATTCAGGAGAATTGTACACTCAAAAATTCATTGTACACTCAAAATCCTTTATGATAGTGATTTAAATCATTTCAAAGAATATGAAAAAGTATAACGATTTGACTGCCGTCTCGTTTTCAAACCGCTTCTCGTGTGAGATATGTTGGTTTTAATTTCCAGATACTTCACCATGTTCCCGAAGAGTTCCGACGATGATCAACTGCTGGGCGATGTCCTTAAGATGTTCAGTCGCGTAATCACAGACTCGTACCCAATTGCTCCTGATGATTTCCTCGGATGGTTGGCTCACGTGATCATGACACCAGATAGCGCAATTACGTCACTGCTGCATGTCAGAGAGGAGCCTGGGAATAGCGCTCAAACAGAATCAAAGAGGTAGGCGATATGGTTAACACCCCCTTTCGATTCTTTACCTTTTATTTCTACGAAGCTTGAAAAAATAACTAGTAAATAACTTGTTTTTCTTGCACCTGTAGATTGCTTCGTAAAGATTTACTAGAATTTCTCGCCGTATTTGTTCGAAGACTACGAGGTGTTTCCAAGCCGTGGTTATGGTCAGGTGAGATGGTTTATGCCGGCGACTTTACACTCAGCTTGACTCTGAATCTCAATCTGACAGACAGTCCTCAGTATTATGACCTGCCAGTGTTGGAAAGTACCCTAGAATGTTTGGTTGAGATTACTGCTATTCCTGGCTTCAGTGCCGCTTCAAAGTTGGTCGACCCCAAAGAGCTTTGTGTGGATATCCTAACGAGTCTACTTCAGGTGAGCAATTTATGCTCTACATGCAGGGGGTGTATCAAAAGAAAGGTTATCCAACTTCAGAGTTCCCTCAAACATTTCTTACAAATCCTTCAAAACGTAGAATTTACCGATGCAAAATTCCTACTGTGATCACAGAAACTTTGATAGTGTAAACCAACCTTTACTGAGACTCACTAATAGACCTTTCCCCTTTTGAGTGAAATTTTGATCTAGACAAGTCTGGACAAAAATTTCATCACAGCTTGAAAGAGCATCACAAAATTAGTAATATTCCGACGTTTTGTTGCGAAATGTTGTAAAATGAGGATAATATAGCCTTGCGAAGTTTGCCGTTTTTCAGTCATTTTGCATTACAAACGGGAAATTTATAATCAGATGATGAAACTGATTATCAATTTCCCATTTGTAATACAAACTGACTGAAAAACGGCAAACTTCGCAAGGCTATATTATCCACATTTTACAACATTTCGCAACAAAACTTCGGAATATTACTAATTTTGTGATGCTCTTTCAAGCTGTGATGAAATTTTTGTCCAGACTTGTCTAGATCAAAATTTCACTTAAAAGGGGAAAGGTCTATTACCACGGTGTTCAACTAGACGTGTTTAAGGTGTTTTCCATGTTCTCTGTTTTTCCAAGGTGCTGACAGCGTTCAACGCAGGCCGTCTTGGGGCTATGACGTCATTCATGGGTCGTGGAGTCACTACGTCTGTCAGTTTGTGTCTCACCCATCTCGTCCATGAAATAACTTCAGTTTTAAAAATCAAGGTACTTGTTGTAAACTTTTGATCGGAATTAGAGCTATCCAGTATAAATAAAGATAGCTTAGTGTCTTCTCATTTATATTTCGTTGACAGGACTGGCCCTCATTATTCCCAACAATCACAGACAATGGCAACAACGCGGACTTTCCCTGGCTGTCAACAATGTGGACAGATCATCTTGCCGAAGTTCGCTGGTGTGGTCTCGCCATTGCTACACACATACTGCAACAGACTGGCTCACCGCTCAGTATCAAACAAAACTTTGCCGGAGGTTTATGGAACTTGGCCGTCATCATACTCATGGATGGCAGGGAATGCTGCTTAGTTCGAGACCAGGTAGAGAAAATAACAGTTATACCTGTGTCCTGTGAAACAATTTTTAACAAGTTTTTAAAGAACGAACTCTGTATATAAACTTCGAGATATAACTGGAGTACCGTAGTCAAGTTGACAAATGTTGGCCTTCACGTTTTGCTTTTTATTTGGCTAAACCCTCATTCGTTGTTGCATTATACATTGTAATAAGACCATACCTTGTCTTTGGTCTTATGGAATAGTATAGGCGGCTTTGCACTTGTTGGGATACTGCAGCTCATTGTGACTGACTCTAAAAGAAAAATATAGTTATCAGACTGTCTAAATTCTTGAGTACATGCACTGACCTTGTATTTAGTGGCACATACATCATATGATGCTAACATTTGAAATTATTTTATCGCTCCTATAAGAGTTTGTACATTTGAAGATGACGCCTATGTTTGTGAAACTTCATCTAGGCTACGATACTATTTTCTACACTTCTTGCATGTTTGAAGAAGAATGAAGATAACCAGAAGTACGAAACTGGTCTCATGGTTCAAACTGAGAATGTAAGCATACTTACTGTGTTTGTGAAACGTTGTGTGTAGTATTCAAATAATTTCTTCGTGTTCACTATTCAGTGATAAAAAAGGTAAATTTTTTACACTTGAGTATTTATACTCGATAACTCTATCCTCTGAAGAGGTTCAGTAACGACAGTCCTTTTATATCGGTTGAGTGTTATAACAGAAGGAAACCCAGTACCTGGAGAACACCTGGGGTGTTTGGTAAAGTCAAACTGCAAGCATTCTTTACACATGCGACTGAGGTGAAATTATAATCAACTGTATGTTGCATGAATCATACTCTTGTCACAGTGGTGAATGGACTATGAGATCAGTGCGTGAAAGGTACATACAATAAGACTACGCGTATGAAATTACTAAAAGTATTTTATTTATTAAAGGAAATAATCAGCGGTGTCCCAGCGCTACACTTGTTACTCGCCCATCACATGTTCTACTCAAGTTTCCATCAAATGTTACGTAATCTTGTTACCCAGAATACGCCTCGTCTTCCGGGAACCGCGACCTTTGCAGAGAGCCTGAGCACTAGTAGTACTCGTTCCAGATATGGTATCCCGTACCAGTCTCTTGATACAGACAGTCAGCGCAGCAGTAGTCGGTCGTCAACGGAAACCACGACGCTGACGTCATCAAGCTTGACGAGAGATTCCGGGAAACGGTTACTTCGGGAATCGCCCGAGACTCTGAGTGTTAGCGAAAGTACAGGAGAATCGACCCGAGCGTCCTCGACAATCCCATTGCTCACGGGGAGTAGGGTGGTGTCTGATACTACAGGGTAAGTATAGGGAGGGAACTGGGAGTCAGGTGGGGCAGTGTGGAACTCTGTTGTGAAACTCGACGTATAAAAAGCATTTCATCTCTCGATGTTTTTAGGAATGAAAATCGTTCCTCGACCTCACCTACGTCCGTGGAGTCCCTCGAGATTCTCGCGTGGGTGAGTCCGCGTTTCGTGGGCTCTCTGAGTGGCCTGGTGACTAACTTGGTACAGGTTTCTCCCGAGACTGTTTTAGACAAAGTTAAAGGCGAGGATGTTTTAGGGATTTTTGTTAGGTAAGAGTTGAAAGTAAATATACTTACACGAGAAACAGTTGTATTGTTGATAGTGATTTGAAAACTCGTTGAAAAACAAGGCACTACAGGATTTTAAAAAATAATTTGAAGGTTTTTTTTTAAGTCACTGTAAGGAAAGGCCACTTAGATTACATCTATTCGGTGATAAAACTTAATATATAGTATATTAGTATTAATTACAAAGCGAATTTAACAGATAAATATGTCATTTAAATCTTTCTAGCCATCTTGACAGCAAGTATGCAGTTTCTTTGATATCCCAACTCGAGACAAGCAGCACTGTGACGTCACAACAAGGCTATGACGTCGCTATTACGTCGCAACAACGTCACCTCGAGATGAATCTGATTGACACATTGGATATGTACAGACATATTTGTGTACTGTTGATGACCTGTGCTGGGAAGGATCCACTTATATCACACGCTTTACAACAGAACAGTGTCGTATTAGAAAGAATTTTGCTGTTGTTTGATATTAACTGCTGTAGTGTGGGTAGGAATGTTCAAACGTCCTGTCATCGTATGTGGGGAAGTGTCGTGGTTTTATTCATGTTGTTGGTTAAAACAGTTAAAGAAAACCATATCTTGGAAACACCGCTTGAAGAAATGTTGTTCAAATATTGGAACATATTCACAGGTAAATAATCCTCGCACACAGACGGACAGGCGAACGAGGTATATCTCAAATTGTTTTCTATTTGTCTCCAAATGCAAAGCTACTACCCATAAAGAAAAGATTTAACATATTGATAACTATCTTTTGTACCATATAGTGCTTAGTGAAACACATTGTCTTCACTCATATTCACACATTTTTACTTCAAAGCATTTTTAAAAATCTTCCACCATCTAGCTGCGTTTAAAGATGTTATGCTCGCGGACGAGACAACAATACGTACAAACTTTCTTCATCTGCTGTCACACTTGCTCTTACGTGAAGGCAAACGTACGACATCGGGAAAGGGTGGTAACCAGAAGCTCACTCGTTTACTGGACACTGACGATACACTGGGCAAAGATACAGAAACAGTTGACGATGTAACAAGCCTTCACAACGAAAAATCAACATGGGAGGAGAAACTGGAATTCAAAGGCAATGGCGCTGATCTTTGTCATATTCTGTACGGAATGTATGACAGCGATAAACAGACGAAGGGAGGCATCGAGGAAAGAAAGTTCGTTGTGTTGGTACTTCGAAATTTGTTGTGCATCAGTTATACAGCAAAAGAAACTGCAACTGAAGGTAAATTCCGCAACAAAATCCGATGAAAACATTTATGCAGCAACGTTTCCTGGTGTTCTCAGGGCTCTAAAGTTCGCATGGCTGAGGAGATCCAAGGATAAACAGAGTTCTCTGCACTCAACAGTCAGCCATACAGTTTGCAACTAAGACGTTCAGTCGTGTAAAGTAGAAAAAAATTTTATCATTTATGTATATTTTATACATTCATCTTTTTCTCATTAGCTGGATTCCTCGCCAAATCTTTGGACAAGATCAAACAGCTACATTATCAACTGAACATGGAATCTCTGGAGACAGCAAAACCTGCAGGTCCACGGAAGAAGGTAGGAGTCATTTGAAATAATCATCATCGTTGTCTTATCGGTCTTGATTGGATATTCCTGGCTTTTATTTTACATCGTCCATGATTTTATATAATATCTGCAAGTTACTCCATTGGAAATCCAGTATCTTCCTAGATTTGATTAATGTCTTTGCAGGCTGCAAAGCCAACCAAGGTTATCACTTTTCTTTGGTAGTTCCTCATGAAATTCGCAATGTGTTTCTTTGAGGTTATATTTAGTACAACCCTAAAGTAAGTCAGTGTCCGTACTGTCTGTTTCTTATTGTGATTGCCCTGCTGCTAAGCCATACGGCAATACACTTTATAGTTGTTAAAAATACGCCGTTCTTCTATGAAATTGTCTAGATGTGTTTTTATTTCCTGTAGGAAATGGATCTTCTCAACGAGATTGTCCGTGTGTTGGAACTTTTGAAAAATCTACTGTTCAGATCAAATGAAGCGAAGGTATTGATTGAAAATAAATGAATGAGAGTTAGGCAAGGGGATTAACCAGGTTATTGGCTCATGTCTCTTGTTAACCCATTAATCTGCAAAGCATTAGGATATTGCGCCCTCCTTCGTTATTTTACTCCGCTAACATAAAATGAATTTACTCATGAAGAGAAGTGTTGTACTTCAACTGATTTATCCTGACATTTTCGTTCCAGCTAAGAGCAATCGATGCTGGTGTTGTATCTGTGCTTCAACAGCTTTGGTCTTGGTGTACTGTAGTGAAAACAATTTGCTTGGCTGTTCTTGAGCTTTTGTGTACCTTAACTGCACGATGTCCGCAAGGTTAGTAGAAACAAATTTTAGAGCGTTTCAGCGTTTTTGTTACATACAAAATGTATGGAGAACGTTCGTCACAAATTTCCCCTCTTAATCAAAGTATCTATCCAGGAAAGCCATAATCTTGATGGCCCAATTTAAAGAAAACGTATATGATAATTTTCTCTATGGTTCGTCCGATGTCGATTTTCTCTACGGTTCGTCCTGATCTTTCTATGTATATAAATATGACATGTTCTCACGACCATTCACTGGTAGTATATATCGCGCTATTCTGGCTAGTTTGTTTTGTCTTGTTTTCACACACGCTTCTTTGGTGTAATCAAACCACAAATGCGCTAATTTCTTTTGTTCGTATTTCAGCGTCAATAGCAATGTCAAACACGTCAAGTGGTGTCGGATCGTCAGTTCGTTTGGGTCCGTCTAACAACACCTTTGTTCACTGCGTCATCAAAATGGCATCCAAATATGGCGGCAAACTTTTGAACAATTCTACTGGACATGGTAACCTGGCCTCCTGTCAGATACTGTTCTCCTTGCTAAAGAATATGGCTATGACGTCAGAGTGTCGGGGTATTATGTGGAAGGTAGAGAGCTACTATTTGAAGCATTCAATAACTTGGAAAGCACATTAGATTATTTTTAACTCTACTCAAATGGTATTCTGTACAGCACTACAACATTAGATTAACCTGTTTTCACTTAAATCTAAATTAAACTAACTTCATTTGTATTGGATACAGTAGCTCTAAACTGTTCTCCCAAATGGTAGAAACCAACTCCTAAATTGGTCAATTTCCCTAATTTTTATTCCAGAGTAACTTCATAGCGGAGTTTTCGCGCCTCAAATCGCTCAGCCACCAAAAATGGAAAGCTGGTCAAAAAACCATCATCAGTTTATGGATGGAGTTACTAGCAAACATCGCGTTCTATCGAGATGGTCAACAGATGATCATCAAAATCGAGGACCTTCTTCCTTTGCTAGTCGAGTTCTGTAATTCGAACAGTAAAAAAATCAACGAAGCCGCCATGTTGGTTTTGAGGAATCTGTGTTTTCATGTTCCCAGTAAAACGTTGCTTCTCTCAAACGGTGAGTTGTCGAGCCTTGTTACTGTTTTAAACTATACTAAACGGGATTTGATTATACTGGACAACTCTGGTTACGGTTACACTGTATCAGAGGAATTAAACGAAAGACATCAAATTCTATTGTTCTTCACAGGTGAAGTAATGGAACTCCTTTTAAAGAACGTTGATAAACCTTCTGTGTATCTACGAGCTTTGGCCGCCTCGTCTTTATGGGCATTACTTACCAATAATCAAAAGGTCAGTCTCATTAATTACTTTTTGGCAGACTTTTTATAAATGCCCCTAAAAGACGTCACAAGAATTAGGACTTGGTTTGGAATTATAACTGCAACATTAAGAATAATTTAGGAATAAAAATTGGTTGTTGCCAATAACCTACATTTCAAGCGCTGTCGCCTAATAAATTACGTGGCAATAAACTTGTTTTTCTTGTTTTAGGCCAAGAGTATTCTTGCTAAACCTGCTTTGGTCGTGAAACGGTTATCGGATTCCAAACTTTCTCTGAAGCCAGCAACGCAAGGTACATCGTGTGTCAGTTTTGTCTTCACTAACTTGGGGGTCCACACTCGACAAAACTCGTTATTTGAAACATTTTTATAAAAATTGGTCGATACGGTCAAACGCATAGACACAGACATGTAACAACTGTATGATGCATTCGTTTCTGTTTATTTTAGAATCTGTTGTTGATGTGAGAGAGGAAAAACACAAGCAGCAATATGAACAGGCAATTGAAAACATTTTGAAAATATTAGGTTGTTAAATCATACTGTATATTAGATGCTTATTTATAACAGACGTGGAAATTTGAACATATGACTATTGTTAAACAATATATCAAAAATATTTTTCATCCCATTAAATGCATGGTTTGAAAAATATACTGAAACTTCACCAATACACGCTTACGGAACGTATGTCACCTTGGTTATAGAGCCTCGTTGCGACCGGGCGTTATAGGGAATACATGGCCGATGTTTTACCAAAACAGTCGATGAAATTATCCATAAGATTGTCACATGATTAGCGTTTCATTTGTGTTCAATTTGAGTTCAAATGTGAAGTAGCATTCAACACTAAAATTCGAAAAATTGCATTATTTTGACCACATGTATGTTCGCAAGATTCAATACTGTTTTTGAGTATTGGCTTATAAAAATATTAATTACATGTTTTACTTGTTGATTTAAAAAAACATAATTAACGGACCACAGTCTTAATCATGCTTTGGCAATTGTACGGATGAATTTCAGTGGAACTTTTGTTGAGAAATTTCGTTCAGGTAATGCGTCCATGAACACACGTCAATTCGACATTATGTACAGTACATACAGTCGATTACACAAAACCTCTTGTTGTGTAACCATGCACATATATACTCAGGATTCCATAAGCGTATAGTTGCACCACCTTGTGCTGATTAATTCAACTTATGCTCTTGTCTTTTGACCCCACGAAGTGAAGCTTTCGCTGTTTTGTCTTTGGTATCGTAAGGACATTTTATCAAATATAGAGCCTCACTGTTGAGTCAGCACCGCATGTGAATATCCAAGGCTGCGACGGATGAAACGCACAATCAAGGACACCTTAAAAAGCGGGTAGCACGTTAAATGTTCAGTATGAACTATTCTGAATGTTTAAGTCTGTCAAATCGCATGGTATAAAAACCTACCAAGATTTTCTGTTGGTTTGTGACCTCTGAGAAGTTTCACAGGAACAATCAATGGATTTTGCATCAAGTCACTAAAAATTTAAGACAGTTGGCAATGAATAAAGACTAGTTTTTACATAAATTCGAAACTCTTGATTGAAGTCCTATGGGTATTGGAGGTATAGTGATCTTTGCATGCGTTAATGAACTCTGTAACCGATGTTCCATCCTTGAATATGCATGTAGTTATCTGAGTACAATTTAGGTTCGATTACCAGACGTGGCCTCGCTACCCGCTGGTAATCGAGCCTAAGTATAATTTCGTTTAAAGATATAGGCTCTAACTGAGCTTCCATAGGAGAGCAGTTAAGAACTGATAGAGCTATCCACTACATAAATACAGTTAGTTTAGTTTAGTTTTATTCTTGGGTTTCATATGACGTCACAAAAGTGACGGGGGGTCAACTCTAAAACAAAACACAGTTATCAGAGTGAGTCGATTGTTCGTTTTTTGTATCAGCCTTGTGTTTGGTGGCAAATACATGGAATTTCGTATCATTTTCTCATTCCAGTACAGCATAAGCATCAATACATTATTACATTTGAGGTTGACCCCCCGTCAGATTCACTGCATAATGCCTTAGTGGAACCCAAGAATACACTATTGAGAACATATCTAACCGTACAAACCTGTATACCATGCCGTGGCAGATAATGACTGTACCATCATCACTACACGATGCAAATAATGGATACCGTTGGTGATAAGTTACTTGACGTACCGCTTTTTTGTGATGTCTAAAAATAATGACATTTCCAATAATAAGTATAGATTTATGCTTCTCAGTGGAAGGAACATTTTACATTAATTTCGTTATTAGAATATAAAACTACCTCAATGTCTTGTATGGGTATGCCGATAAATCTATATCAAACCAACATAGTCTGCGGTCGTAACTGCCAACTATTATATTGTCTCCTGAAATAAACACACAATATCGTTCAATATCCGTTCTAAACTGTTCTCCATCGAGATACAGTTAATCCAATGTTACTACAGGAAGAAACTTAAACGAAAGTAACGTTCAGTTACTATCTCAGTTACAGCTTTATCAGTTCTTAATTGTTCTTCGTAGATGTGCAGTAAGAGTCATCCCTAACTAGCACAGTTTCACTGCAAGAGGAAACTGAAGTAGCAGCTGAGAAATCGGGCCATGTTTACAGCGGTGAAAGGCACTGATATACTGCCACCAATATCTCCATCATGAGTTTGTATGTTTGAGTGTTTAAACGCCAAAACATGCAAAAAAAAAAAAACCTCCTGGATGTATAGCCATGCTTGAAATCCACTTTGCAGAAGATTGTAATTTCTTTAAGAGTTCTTGTTTGGAAAGGTCGTAAACACGAATATAACGCTGGGTCTGAAATGATGTTAAAGAATGATTATGACATTGAACGAAAGAAAATTTTTCCATTGCTTTAAATATATTGCGGAAGCTTAGCAATTGTTGTTAATCTTGCTAATATTAACACTCTGTCTATCAAGAAATGAAAATATATACTAATAAACCTAAGTATAAACACAAATGAAACTCACCGCTACAAATAAGAATGATTTGATAGGATGAAAACATACACACTGGATTAAACCTTTGGATTTTCGGAAAGGTTGCTACAATATACATAAGATTGGGTTAAGCACTAGACTTGCCTCATTTCATGGGACTTCAATACTTTCTTAAGATGAGTTAATGTACCAACCTGACTGCGACGTTTACTCAACTGATGAATCACCACCGATTGATTTGCTCCTGCAGTATTGGAAAGAAGCATGGACTTACTCCCGATATAATTATCGATGAAAAGTATACAATCTTGTCGGACAAATACACTTGTTGATGATGAATTATGAATGGTGACATAATAAGTTTGATAATTATCACAAATTCTTACCATCAGGCAAAACAACCGAAAAGTAATCTCCTTTGCTGTGCCACGTCACTTGTTGAATCGCCTGAAAGTATAAGTGTCCATTTCGAAAGTAATTCACCAGTGACTGGGAAAAAACCTAAAGGCTAAACAGAACTTTGTACCTTTTTATGCTTCAGAACGAGTCTGCTTCCATCCTTATGCCCATTTTCATTCACTTTAATTTCACTCCATGAAACTAATTGCTCTTTCGCTGTACAACGGAAAGAAAAAAAAAGTTTCAAAAATTGTACATTTGCTGAGTCCAAAAAACAAAATTCGATGACTTCGCATCAAACTACTTCTGCTATGAACGAGCTTCCTTTTTACACGTTACCATCGCTGAGAACCAGCTGTTGCATCGGTTGAAAAGTTCACATGGCAACATTTATACTAAATAATTCTACTCACCGTCGCTAGGAGGTTCATAAGAGGAAATGAGTTGATCTGTGGCTGAACAAATTAGTTTATCACCGTGAAATGTGTTCGCAATCACAACTGTATCGCTTCTATAATAATATAAAATGAAAGAAACGATAGTTAAAATTAAATCTTATACCATGGTATCAGTTGCATAAACATGAAGCAAAATCGGCTGTTAGAATGAAACTAGTGCTCAAAACTACCTGTCAGTAAAACTTAAAACGTTTTAGTGATAAACAATATACAGAAACGTTTCACCAAGCAGATGGTGGTCCCCCATCAGTTTTGAGAATGAGAAAATAATTATTTCCATTACATGTACAGATGAAGTCCTTGCGTGTACTGGCAAGTAAATAGAATTTCAATATGTAGTTTAATTTCCTTGCTTCTATAATTCCATTCTTCTGAAGTTGGTCTAATGCCCTGTACTGAACCCTGTCAACTGCTGAAAGCTAACTCACACTACAACGGCGACCAATGATAAAGATGTGCTAGGATTCCATGCCACGCTCTGTACTCTATCCTCAAACTGGATGGTCTTAAGACACCTTTCTGTTGCTATTTCCCAATATCTCAGTGTCTTGTCATCACCACCTGTACATAAGACAAGAAATATGAATGGTAAGCTAATACTGAGCTAAGGTATCCTTTATTTAATAGCTCTGTCAGTTCAAACTGTTTCAGTCACACGTGAATAAAGTAAGCGTAATGAAATATCCCTACCTGATACTAGCCACTGTCCAGTAGGATCCACTGACAGACACCTCACTACTCCTTCGTGTCCATGATATACCTAGAATAAAAGAAACACATGCCCTATAAGATCTTTATCAGCTGGGGAACATTTATAGCGGTAACGCAAGGTTACTTGTGTTCTACACAAACATATCAACCGAGAAAAAATCGTTCAGTTCGTTCACTTGGTAGGTAATATTTCGATCTTGTTTTAGTACACACCAAAGCCGTCAATGATACACGCACGATGAAACTTACCAACGCTTGTGTTGTGGGGAACGGTTGAAGGTCTTTTGGCTTCGGTAATTTTGGAATGAGATCGTCAGGATTGACATTTAGCTGCGAAGACAAGTAGCCAGAATATATTTATCATAACACAACAGTAATCACTCTCTTGTTATTTTGAATAAAGAAAGTAGGATACCCTCATTTTCCTCTGTCTTGGACACAAATACAAATCAAGACATCTTTCAAATCTTTCTTGAATGAAATTATTGTAACCAGGAACAAGACGTAAACTGGAGTATCTATAAACAATCAAACGGTCCGTTGGATAAACAATACATTATACTGAAAAAATACAAGGAGAACTGCAACGTTTCGAACGAAGGCTCTGTGTTTTTCAGGTAGCTTTCTTATTATTGGAACTACCTACACTGGTACAGACAGTTTAACATTATACTGTACGCTACTGGAGAGTGTATGGTATGGTATGGTATGGTATGGTATGGTATGGTATAGTCTGGCATGGTATGGTATGGTATGATAAGGTATGGTATAGTATGGTCTGGTATGGTATGGTATGGTTTAGTCTGGTATGGTATGGTTTGGTCTCGTATGGTTTGGTCTGGTATGGTATGGTATGGTTTGGTCTGGTTTGGTCTTGTATAGTATGGTATGGTACAGTATGGTATGGTTTGGTCTGGTATGGCATGGTATGGTATGGTACTGTATGGTACTGTATGGTATGGTATGGTATGGTACTGTATGGTATGGTATGGTATGGTATGGTTTGGTCTGGTCTTGTATGGTATGGTATGGTATGGTATGGTATGGTATGGTATGGTATGGCATGGTAAGGTATGGTATGGTAAGGTATGGTTAGTTCTGTTTGGTATACAAAACATCTGCTGCGAGACTCATGCAATCACACAGACACGATTGAAATGTTCATGCATCTAAACTTGTAAATGAACATACTTCTTTGGAAGGAAATTTGTTGGTCTGTCTTCTGGATCCATCTCTTCCCAAGCTTTGATCTGACAGAAACGAAACATTAACCCTTATTTAGTTTAGTGGCTTGCATTAATTATGGTACTGGACACATAAACACGTACATATGTTGACGAAAATAAACACACTTAGGGCAACTGAGTGTACCTCGTCTTCTGTAGGCAAATACTCCGGTGGTGGATTGTAAGATTCATCATGACCTGAGAGAGTTTGCATTATAGAGTTGTAGGATAAAAATATATTACAATTCAACAAAAACAAATGTCAAGACTGCACCTGGTAATTTCATTTTGGGAGCAGGAATATGCATATTGTATCGTGCTAACTTTTTCTAAAGTAAGAGTTTAACAAATTTTAGTTCATAATTTATTTACGTATATGTAGCGTAAGTTATATATAAGCCATGTACCATGGCATCATACCAACATATGACGTCATATTAACATGTGATGCCATAACATGACGTCATACCAACCCATGACGACAACCAACCGATGGCGTCATAACATATGACGTCATACCAAGTCATGACGTCATACGCACCTGTGTATCATCCTGGTCCCAGATCATGTAATATCGAGGTTTATCTGTTTCTGATTTCTTTGGCTTGATCCATCCATTACGGATCGCTCGGACTATTTTCATAATCTGTAAATATTACGATCACAAATAAAGATTCTGCTCTTTGAAACGTACAACTTTAATTTACGATTCTGATCACTGAACTCTGCGTTCGCGACCCATTTACGTTCCAAATGCAAATAAAACGCAAATTGGAACGCGCTCAGAATAAAGAACGCGATTGGAACGCAAGTGGAACACAATCAAGATTCAAGAACGCGTTCCGATCACGTTTTCTGTTAGGCCATTTCTAACATATTGATTGCAAGTCTCCTAATAGAAAGCTTGCCTTCTTATGTTCCCATTTTGATGGAATAAATCTACTCTTCGGCTCCGGTCTACTTGATATGGGATGATCCATTTTGATAGACGTAAAATGATCGATGTATGGCTAAAAAGAAAAGAAAATAACTTTCTTGAAAATTTATGACATCTTTGAGAAAATCAACTGCAGGTATAGGACGTTTTCGCACAGTCCTATATTACAGTGGGCAATGAATTGTCATATACACCTCACGAACCTATCGACTCATCGCGAAAGTTCGCTGATAATGATAGAAACTGGATATATTTTAAGGTGAACGGCATTATAATATACCAAGTCTATATACCTGATAAGGGTCATCAGCACTTGCAGGATAACGTTTGTTCTGCATGCTGTCGATCATTTCCAGTTCATGATCCGTTAGAACAATTTCCTTCATTGTCTGTTTGTCTTTGACTGTTCGCCTATGAATTGCAATAATTTGCAGTTCAGTAAGACAGGTTCCCAAATGCCGCAAGGTACTGTATAAATCTTTCAAGCTTTTACACTCACCAATAGTTTGGGTCATCCATTTTTGATAGAAATTCATCCAGCTATGATAAAATATATTTATTTGAAATTAATATTGCATTAGCATCCTCAAAATTTTTCTTTAACGTTATAAAAGTTTTCCAATAAGTTTTAGTTAGTTTTTACTGTCATTGGCATAAAAAATGATCATTTCAATTTACACATACTGGTAAAACGAACGACACTTGCTTGTGACTCATTCCTTTATTTGCCAAAGCGAAAAGCTAAGTATATTTCTGCCTATGATCTATTTGTGATTCACCTCATCTCCAGTTGCAGGTTTTAAAATCTTCTCTCCGTGCAGATCATATCCAATATGTGGGTATTCATTATACCACTCAACTGGGATTTTACCAATAGTATTACGAAGTTCCTAAACGCAAACACCATATTAGTTTTTTTCACACATTCGCATTACATATTTCGAATGCTGGTTTACAATTGGACCCACAACCCTGGTGAAAAATTTGATATTTTCTGAATTATACAATCAATCAATCAATCATGTGGTTTAGCGACCTCTTCGTCAGAATCTTCAGATTCGTTATCAGGCTGTGATTTTTTCTTTCCCTCCAGATTTTCTTTCACTTTTCCATTTCCTCCATTTCTTTCCCCTTTTTCATTCTCTTCTATATTGACTCCATTTTCATCATCACTTTCATCATCAGTTTCTTCTGGTTGTTCATTCAGTTCATCATTCTCTTGACTTGGGTCCCCTCCATCTTCAATACTCTCATCCAAACTTTCCTACAGTATTATCAATTTTATATCATTCTTTGCTCTAAGTGAAAAACTATTGCCATTTGGAGGCTGGTGTACACTATCAAAATTTCTGTGATCACAGTAGGAATTTTGCACAGGGTAAATTTTATGTTTAGAAAGATTTAGCCAAATAAAAATAATAGTTGGTTTCAGGTTTCCAACCGACCTGTCTAAAATATGACCGACCATAAACAGTTTATTGACATTTTCCAGTAGAGATCATCTTTTTGTAAATAGCAGAATATATAAATAGTCATCAGACTCATTTGTCTACAAATTATTTTGTTTGCTTTGTATAATTTAATCATTATCTAGTACATTGCAGCTACAGCTGAAAAAAGACGAGAACGCCTTGATGCGTTTCTTTCTTGCGAAACACATGTAACTCGCAGGTGATCCCATTATTGTATACCAGTGTTTACCTAGCATCACATTGACTGGATGGACTAATTGACACCTGCAATGCTTTTTGCAACCATTAGAGCCAAATAATGTTGCAGTCAAACACAGATTAAGTAGAAAATTTTGAGATCTTGTAGTTTAAATACGTTTTCTGTTTAGTAGGGATTAAAACATGGTTTATCAAGATACAATGGTCTGGAAAAATCAAAGAACTCGTTGTATTATGTTTTGGTCTGAGTTTATGTTAATAAGTATATAAGGACAGTACCGGTAAGTAAATAAGGATAGCAGAGATGAATAATACTTAATGAAGTTGAGACAAAAGATTTGTGCACAGTGAGGTACATTTCAACATTTCCACGCTCCCATGTATTATTCTCTATGTCATTAACATTGCTAGAATAGTAAGTTACTTCATAACACTTATTGTTTTCAAGCAACAAATCACACACATCAAATGATTCGAGATTCTCATCTGAGTCCTCATCTTCAGACTCCAGTCCTTCATATTCACTTTCTTCACTGTCTGTGCTGTCATTCCCTTCAGCTTTCTCAATTAGAGTCTCAGGAAGTAGATTAGTGTCTTTCTATAATAGTAGATTGTAAATAACATAGATTTGTCAACACCTACAACTGTTACAGCTTGTTATATGTGCAGTGGTTGGGAGCTCTGTAGATAATTGCCAAACACTTGCATTTATTTGGGTCCAGGTCATGGACTGTGTGTGATTTGAAGTACTGAAGTGACCTACATAGCAGGATCTGAAATTAGCAGTATCCCACTATCCACGGGAAACCAAAAATTTGGTTTTGGATACAAAACTGTGAATGACTTGTATCCCGACTGGATACTAAGAAAATTTGAAACATTAAGAAAATGTTAAACACCTTTGACAGACTCCTGATACTATTTTTTGACAGTATCAATGCTTTTCTTTCAGACCTTGATATCAACGGTATCAAATATTTGGTATCTGTATCAGCCCATCATTAGGTCAAGGTAAGACATTGTGGTACCAGAAATTGTAACATAAAGTAAAACACTGACCACTATTCACTGACACTGACCAGCAAATGGGCACATGGAGTGATGGAGGATTATCACAAGTTATAGAATTCAATATCTGATAATTCATATAAATATTGGCAGGAAACACACTATTTGCTACTTGGAATTAAAATAGTCTGCAGCACAAGCAAACTAGCGTATTAAAACTCTTGTCACAAAAATTATAAAAGCACAATCACATATTAAATATATGTATGTTTTGCAATCAAAACTGACAGTATCCTACCTTCGTATTTGGTACTTTCTCTGCAGCATCAATGCTTCGTTTCGGCATTTTGATCTCTCAGTATAAATTTATTAATAAAGTACATATATGATGATTTTTACAGTATTATAAATGATTTGATACAAAATTTATATTTATTTTTTATTTTCCCACGTGTTTTAAAAATTCTTCATGATGGTCAGCGGGTTAGTAGCAACACTTGGAAATTCATGTAAGAAAAATATTGTGCCCATCAAGGTGCTCATCAACTCAAGACTGCGTAATGAAACTGTCGTCCCGAATCCTCCGGTACCACTAGACCCCTCCTCCCAGATTGCTACGCAGGCTACCATCTTATCCCTCTGCGAAACATTAAGTTTGATGAAATGGTAAATTATTTACCAATTATTTCTGGGTCCGGCTTTGCCTTTGGGTTTCCGTAAGCGCAGTGTAGCCTCGATACCAGTTCCCAATGCCGACTGGTAATCGAGCCTAAGCTAAGTGTAGTTCAATTCTTTATTCTGTGGTGGTAATGGTAAGGTAATGCTGCTAACAATTTTTCTTCAAGGGAGAAGAGTAATAGCAGCTTAAAATTCATAACAAACTAAAAACTTTAACACTCCAAAAGTCACGGATTCAATACATACATGAATATCATACAATTCCATAGTCATATAAATATTTACAACCGTTTATTTACAGTTGAGCATTAACGCTATTAATTTCAGCTTCTAAAAGTTCGGAAGCCCGCCATCTTCAGTGATCAGAGGCAAGGTTTCACGTTTCAATACTATTCATGCAATATAATATCAACTTCATGTCTAACTACACGGCTACACTAGTACGAGGGTCTAGATGGGGGGGTCTGAAAATCAGTAAACGGTAAAAATTTTCATATTTTAACGGTAACAATAAGTAACATTTTGGTATTTTAACGGTAAATCTTTGAAAAGTGTTCTGAAACGATAAACAGTACTTTTTTCCTCACGATTCACGCTAAATTTTTAGTCTTTTCACGGTAACCGAAATTGAGCGAATCACGACTCACGATATACCCCATCAACACCCTCTAGCACACTTTCATTAAAATGAAGTCTCCGAATAGCAAAGTTTTGCTCTCGGTTTTGCTCATCGCATTCAGTTCCTTTAATAATACTGTCCACTCTTGGCAGATATCTCTCCACCATCCATGTACCCGGGTGTAATTGAGTATTTTGTAATTCACGAAGACAGACACTGGTTAACAACTTTCAGGAGATGAGAATTTTCCAACGCGGCGGCAACCCTCTCTTTATCACCCAATTGTTTGTTGACTGAAATAGAAAAAGAACAATGCTTAACTTTTTTCCGTACGAAAACTTTCCAGTCGAAGTAAACAAAGTAAAGATAGCACTACTCGCTTTGTGGGCAGTGTCTTCTTAATTCGCTTGATTCTTCTAAAAACTTTGCTGCCATGTTCATGAATAGCTGGGTATTTGTTACAAGAGAAAGTTCATTTCAAGTTCTTATTATTCTGCCCAGTGACCCGCATTAACACAAAGTTTTAGTTTAAATATTTGCTAAAATTGACTGGGAATACTTAGAGATTTCATCGTAGAATGGCCTAGTTATATTTATTTGCTCTTTGACTAAATGGTTCTGCCTCGATCAGATCGACGATGTTCAAATTAGTAAGGAAATAGAATGATCATGTCCAAGATTTCTGGCCATGTGGATGTTTCACTGTGCAATCACGTGTCAGGACAAGGATATACTGCTTTCCTTTGTGTTGTACTCATAAATTATTAAATCTCAATAAGTTCAACAATATCTCAAAGTTGAGATTACAATGTAAATATATAAATCATACGAGATGTCAATGATGCTCACTTTTAATTATTTGACTGTCTATGCAGTCCTCGAAATTTTGATAAATCGTCGTCGGCAAAAATTGCCGTCCATATTTTAAAGTTCGGAGGCAGTTCAACGGAAAATTGTGCCTTCCTGAACTCGTCACTTTTTGTCTCTCAATACTTCAAACATAGAAGATACATTTTATACTGTTTGTGTGCAACCTCTAGCTCTGTTCGTACTCCAGTGAGACTCTGTTACACGACGTAGTTCTAAAATTGTTTAATTGTAACAATATTAGAACAACATTGTGCGCCAGTGGGGTTACTATAATGAATGAATTCTAAAACGCGACTATTACATAACTCTGTGCCAGATGTTGCATTGCAAGTTGCAAGCAAAAATAGACAATTCCCATTATAGACTAATTTTTTATCTTGGGAAAAAAGTATATTCCCAGAAAGGGCATAAACTAAAAGTAGTAATATTGCAAAGTTTGGTTGCGAAATGTTGTAAAATGCGGAAATATATAGCTTTGCAAAGTTCGCAAATTTTGTATACTTTTGTATTATGTGCGGAAATTGCTACCACATTTGGGCCGAAAATGGTAGCAATTTCTGTACGCAATACAAAAATATACAAACTTTGCCAGGCTATATTTTCCGTTTTTTACAACCAAACTTTGCAATTTTACTCATTTTAGTATGTTCTTTCTAGCTGTGGTGATTTATTTGCATCTACTTGCCTAGTTTTAAAATTAGTCTATAATGGGAATTATAATATAGCATTTGTAAATTCTGAACGCTGATTGGCTAAGAGCCGTGTTGATATAACTCAATGTCAACACGGGAAATTTTCCGCCGCTTGTAAACACGGAAATTTTTCTTATCCTTCGGGCTTTTGACATTGCTATATTATAAAAAAAATATAAAACATTTTTTCCGTATTGATATATAGTTATATCAACACTCGTGGAAGTTGGGAAAACTCGAAATTGTATGAAAACACTCCGCCCTTCGGGCGTTGTGTTTCCATACAATTTCTCGTTTTCCCAATTCCACTCGTGTTGATATAACTGTATATCAACACGGAAAATGTTTTATATTTGTTAATTGTCTATTGCTTCATGTAACATATTACCAGCATGCTCAGATGCATGACTCCCAGGAGTGATTTCAACATCAACTTTAAATCTTTCTGGAAGGGACCTCAACAGCTTCACTCGGATAGCAAGTCCTATAAGCGTAGCCATGCTACAATGTGGGATCGTAGGAGTGAAGTTGATGTGTATTGTGCTGTTATCGTCATCGACTGTCACCAGCGATTCTTCAACGACATTCAGCTCTTCCAATGTCAATGGATGTTCAGGGTCGTTTATCGTACGGACAAGATCTTAGCCTGACATTAAGGATGAAATGTGTTGGCATTTTTGTAGGAATTAGGACCACTAATGATATAAAATTATTATTATTTTAATATCTCGTCTAGCCGTATTGTATATTAATATTTAACAATCTGTAAATACTGTATAAACTATAAATTAATAGTGTATTAAATACACAACAAATGAACAAACTTCGTGTCTAACTTTCTACATCGCTGTAAGTCTTGAGCATACAAAAGGATACCAAATACCTCCCTCTGATCAATTTTATCAACGACATTATCGTCTTCTTCTTCTGTGAGTAAAACTCGTTCTTTAATCTTTTGATGAACTTCGGGATTTACGTTTTCCAAGCCTCGAGCGGCAGCCATCTTGAATTCGTTACCACACTTCCTTGCTCAGGACTCGCAACTCGGTATTTACGGCTCTGGTGCACTCTAATAGTCGTGTATGAATGGTGGGTAGCGGCACCAAAAAGCACCTATCCTATACGTACTGCCTGTACCATTTTCGGTAGCTGAGCGAAACAACATCTCTCCGTTGCAATAATTCCTGTGAAAATAACGTTCCATAAAGGTACGGATACGTGTTTTTCACGTCGTTATACGGAAAGCTATTATTGTGCTTCCACTGCTTCGTTTCCAAACATTATACAATAATTGCATTAGGGACCGTTCATTATTTATACCTGGGGTTGGTACCGAAGACAAGAGAAAAACAGTGTACATTTTTTATTTACCCAACCTCAACAATGGTCAAAATAATGTTTACCCAACCCATGTGTTACTATACTTCATAATAATTAAACACACAAGATTATGGTGACAGAAATCAAGTTGCCTATATTCTAAAAGCTCACTCACACTCAAACTCACTGAGTGTGCCAAAGCAATCACGTTCCTGCTAATCAATGATAGAATCCTTCCTCAATCACTGATGGTCTATTTTGGTACAGAATGTATTGTATACATTTTTCTTCATATTTTCCAATGCATGGTAATTTTGGTCTTATTCTATTTTATTTTACAGCCATAAATCTTTTTACCCAACCCATGAGCCAGTCAAAAACTTGATTGCCCAACCCAAATCTCTTCGGTACCAACCCCTGGTATAAATAATGAACGGTCCCTTAAAGAAGCTGGGACACCACAACAGCTTAACACCAATTACAGCGGGCCCTTTACAAAATATCAATATAAATATAGAAAACAGAAATAGTTAACAATTTTTCGCCGAAGGCTAGGTGATTATCGGTGAGTAGGGACAGAGACAAAGTCGAAGTTTTCATTTAACAATAACCACCGAGCCTAAGGCGAATAATTGTTTTAGTATAATTTCGTAGGTGATTACTATTACCCTGCTGGCAGTGGTTTCCGAAGAAAGCTATCCGACACAAGTGTAATTAAATGTAGCGATAGTCGATAGTCGATCAATGTGACCGGATTTCGATCCTGCGATGATGTAGTTTTCTGACTATAATTTCGGCTCAGTCATGTGACCGCGGGCTTTCTTCGAGTACTCGTTTTAATCTCTCGTATTAATATGAATCTAAATAAAAAATCGGTCGATCAAAAGCGTACAGTACGCGTGTTCGCCTTTTTAAAAAAAAACACAATCAAACATTTTCAAAGTCCATCTATAATTATTTCAACTTGCTCATGTTGAATTTTAAAAATTACCGATATAATAACGCAATTAGGGAAGTATTGTTAACTGTCTTTTCGGCATAGGCCGCTCAAAAAGATGGTTACAAGGAAAATTACTCCGAAAACATCTTTCAAACAAGGTTAGCTGATGACTAAGCTGGATCAGAATGCATTCTCAGGAAAATAGAAACAAAAATGAAATGGTTTGGATGAACATATACAGATGTTGGATGGATGGATGTGAGAGATAGAGTGTGAGAAAATGAAATTATGGAAGAGAGTATTGCTGTTTGAATTGATGAAGCCGATTGTTCACGATATGAGTTATGTTATGCGAGACATGATACACAAGATAGCGCGATTCCTAAATGAAGGGAAAAGACTGACCTGCATTAGACATCTGCGACCACAGTTATTTAATACGCGGTTCAATATATTTATATCCCGACACGTAAGAAGCAATATTTACTTTAAACTTGAGTAAAATTAAGATGTAAATTTGAAGTGCAAACAATTGATAGCGATCGATTGATGTCACAATTATTAAGCGTTCTCGACTACTGGTTGACTAACAATCAACATTCATATGTAAACGAGAAGTCAATTTTATGTTCAATATCAATCGTTCGCAGGTGGCATGTTCAAAAAATATATCACAAGCTTCTAAAAGACTATATGTAGCTCCGAATGACTAGTTTAATTGTTGAGTGGGATCATAGAAGAAATGGACAGTCAAAATTCAACTTTTTCAAACTTTTCAAAACCAGTAGAATCGTTTCTCTCGTCCAATGAACGAACGCTTTTAACTGGAATTTATATAATATTAAGTTTTTTCGGTTTATTTGGAAATGGGGTGGTAATTTACGCCGTAATTTCGTTGGGATTTTACGTTGATGTTCCAGCAAATATATTTATTCTCAGCCAAGCGTTCTCCGACTTTGGCACCGCGTTGTCGCTCTTGATTTACATCGTTCATATGTACATTTGGATTTGGGACGTATTTTATTGGTATACGGGGGTTGTTTGGTTAGCCTCTTTAGGAAGTTTATTTTTACTCACTTTTAATCGCTTGGTTTCGGTAGTGGATTCGTTTGGCTACTCTCGCCATATGACGCCGATTCGGGCGAAAATACTCGTAATCCTGAACTGGTTTCTAGCCCTAATTGTCACTATCTATCCATTACTGATACCATGGCATGATGCTCACATTGGACGTTATTACATTGTAACAATTACACTTTGTGTTATACTCTTCGACGTCTACCTGTTTCGCGAGGGGAGAATTCAAACCGAAAAAATTAAACGACAAAATCGAATCGTAACGGGGCTGGAGAAAAACCTGAAAGAAGATTTCAAGTCAGTCCGGACTCTGGCCATCATCAGTGGAACATTTCTGGCCTGCTGTCTACCGTTTACTATTGTTACATTCATATACGGGGATAATAAGATGACTATAGAGTTTCAGAGGAATGCGGCCTTCACTGGAACACTCATGCCGATTAATGCGATCCTAGATCCAGCAATATACTACTTGCGAAGCGCAGAATTTCGAGCGTTTTACCAAAGGTTCAAAAGATCACGTGCGAAGAACGACTTTCTCAAACGCATTCCTAAATCTAGGGCGCTCATATGGGCGCACAAAGCCACCAACCGCGTTACGCCTGGTGACGAGAAATGACGGTAACGAAGTGATGATCACTTTTACGTTTCACACTTTTTCTTTTGATGTTTCTATCAACTCAGGAAATGAAACATGTTTAAATTGTTTTGTTGAATAAATCTCGACAAGCATATAAAATAATCCAATACGCTAAGACTTTTGCAAAGTCAACTATAAGTAATTTTCATCATTGATTACAAAATTGTAAAATTCCTTACTTGCAAATTATAATTGCTATTAACAACTGTAGTTAAATTATTGAAGTGGTTTATTTGCCAAGAAGCTGGTAAACATTTTGAATGCTTGAGATGGTTTGTCTTCTGGCACCATGTGACCTGCCCCCTATATAGAAGAAAGACAAGCAGATATTTATATTGGATAGTCAATTTTATCAGTTCTAAATCGTTCTTCATAGAACTCCAGTAGGGGTCATAATTTATTTATTGGTCCAGTATTAATTCAGGACAAAACCTAAACTAACTTTATTTATACTAGATAGTTCTACCAGTTCTAAACAGTTCTTCCTAGAGGTCCAGTAATGACCATCTCTTATTGATCCAGTGTTACTACAGAAGGAAACCTAAACTAAACTAAACTAAACTAAACTAAACTAAACTAACTCCATTCATACTGGATAGCTCTATATCAGTTCTAAACTGTTCTTCCTAGAGACCCAGTAAGGATCATCTCTTATTGGTCCAGTGTTACTACAGGAGGAAACCGGAGTACCAGGCTGCGGTGTTTGGTAGAGTCAAACAGAAAATCTCCTTGCGTGCTACTGCTAATATCTATAACAAAAACATCTATACCTTAATTGTAACAAAATAGAGCTTTTCAAAGTATTTGACAAATCCTGCAATCTGAGGACCTATTTTCCAAAACCGGCGTTCTTTTAAAACCTACGAATAACATAAAATAAAATCAGAACAAAAAAATACAGAAACACGGACGTCTATACTACTGTAAGTATGGTATGGTATGGTATGGTATGGTATGGTATGGTATGGTATGGTATGGTATGGTATGGTATGGTATGGTATGGCTTACCTTTAATCCCAGGCTCTCAACAAACTCTTGATCTCCAAGAAAGTTACAAGCCATATCTGTGTCGCCATTGTAGACCATCCCTCGATAGTGCTGTAGTTTGAGAACAGAAAGAATGCAGAAGTGATATTTTAGACTTAATTTCGAGCCCCAAAGTATCCCTGTTCCCTGGTGTAGGTATTTGGAAAACAAGTACAATTACTACGAATTGAATTAAAGTGAGAATGAATGTACATTTATACAATAACATACTTGAATTAACTTCAACACGATTGGTGAGAGGGTTTTGTAAATATACTTGTAATTCTTGTTCACAAATTCACTGCGGTAAAAATGGAATCTATGTATCAGCGCTGGAATCCCACAACAACACCATTTGATTCATTTCAGACACTTGTATAACAACTGTTCACATAACACTTGTCGTTTTTTCAATTTTGATTTGCAATCATTCCGACTATGATAGGAAAGAATGATGGCGAATCATTCTGCTCCATCCACAGCCTATTGTCTAATACGGTTGGATTCCTGTACCCCTACATTCATATACCCCTGATGAAGACACTAGACTGGAGTGTCGAAACGTTGGGTCTTGATTACAGTTCGACTGGACTTTGTAATCATATATTTAAACCAGAGTAACGAGCGAAACATGAAAAATATGGTTGCATTTTTCAACTGCTCCTGGTTATAGGTCTAATAAATGTATAAAATTTTCACTCAAAATTTCCATCTACAAAACCCTTCTACAAGCTACTCAGTGTTTGAACAACAGTCAACCGACTTTTCAACTAAATGTTTATACAATAATCATGCTTGAGTAGGGTATATGGACCTGCATATAGTCCAGTTAGGTAAACCACTCGGAATATGAAGAGCTTCTCTCACTGTGGGCATATTGAGATATTTGTTTGCAGCTGTCGAGTTAATACATGGCGGAGATAGCCCAAGTCTTCCCAAGTATACATTGTTGTCTTTCTAAAAGAAAAGTCATTATCTTACTGAAAATAGCAGCTCCGAAACTGATAAAATTCCTGGATACTAGAGTAGCCAAACGTCAAGCTTGGAGCAACTTTGGTGCATGACCAAACTTAACTGAACTAGCTTAAGTTTATTTATACCTATAGATGTCCAATAAATATCTCTTATTAGTCTGGTTACTACAGGAGGAACCCTTCACCAAACTAACTTGCCAGATACTACTTATGTAATCAGTTCTGAAATGTCCTCCCTGGTTTTGTGAAACATCGCTTATTAATCCAGTGTTACTGCAGTAGGAAACCTAAACTAAACTAACTTTAGTTAACCTGGATAACTCTACCTGTCCTGAACTGTTTTTCCTACTGTTCCAGTCTATATAGTATTGTCAAACTAAAAGCACACTTCTCAGACAGCCATGCAATCAATAACCAAAGCCTGACCTTGACATGTCGTGTACCCAAATCTGACCAAAGCCTGACCTTGACATGTCGTGTACCCAAATCTGACCAAAGCCTGACCTTGACCAGTGGCGTAACGCTATATCAGGGGGGCCCCGGTTCAAACTTTTCGAAGGCCCCCCTAGTAGAAGTGCCAAAGGCACAAGTCGAGCACCGTATATGCACGAGTTTTCTAGTTTTCCAGCGCATGCTCATCCGGAAAATTTTTGAATCTAGACTCTCTAAAATGTCATTTCCCGGACTTTGGGGAGAGATTTTACAGAATTCTGATGGTCAAAAAACGGCATTGTTGCTCTATAGGCTATAGCCTGAGCTTGGGCCCCCATTGGGGCCGTGTAGCCACGACGTGAGTGGTTACAGAGCCTACCTGATTCGACATCATATTGAACAAGTTACGGATTGCGTAAAAAAGTCTGACGTCATGCGATGTGAGACCACTGCAGTTCTGATACAGGCCATACATATTTAATCCAATCGTTAAAAAACTACTCAAAGCCGACACTACCTGGAAAAAAAGAGATAGAAATTGGAAAAAACCCTGAGAAATTAGACTGCAGAAAATTGTTGTTGGCTTTACCACAGCGCGACATTGTTGATTGGTAGAATTGTAGAAATTGCAACTGCCATCAGTACAACAGTACTTCTGTAATGGATCCCAATACCTAAAATATAAAAGATTTAATAAAAGATAATTTCTCAATAATAAACAAAATTATTAATTAAGCTTCGGAAGATAACATTGACCTCAGTCTGAAGAATTCTTAATATCTGATGCTCAGACCCACGCAATAATTGTTTATTATTTTTTTTCACTCTGACAACCGCCGTTTGACCAACATCTATATAATGGTTGCATGCATAAGCACTTACTCGTCACCAAAAAGTCCATGATAATAACCAAAATAAACAAGAGAATTTTGGTTTTGCTGTACACTTAACAACCCGTTACCAATAGCAAAGCCCTAGAAAAATAAATAGCGATTTGATAAAAAGCTAGGAGTATATATATATCACATATATACGAAGGAATGAATTATATAGGGGCCATTCACAAAGGATGTCCGGCCAAATGATGGATTTTCAGACCCCCCCTCCCCCCCTTGTCCGGCATTGTCCGAATTAGTGACCTCCCCTCCCCCCGGACATCCGCCATGCCTCACAAAAACTCACGCAACCTTGTATATATCAAGAGTAAAAAACTTTTTTTACTTTTAGAACTTTTTTATAACTGTAAATGTGAACACAAAAACATATAAATTACTAATTAAAACAAAATCTAGTGTTAACCGCATAGTCAAAATGCCAATTTCACAATGGGAAGGACTGCTCAAAATAGAGGGAAAAAGAAATTTGTTTTTGAATTTTTTTTAATTTCGGACATCCGGATTGCTAAAAATAAACCTGCCCCCCTATGTCCGAGTTTGTCCTGATTTTCCAAACCCCCCTCCCCCCTTTCCAAACCCCCCTCACATCCTTTGTGAATGGCCCCATAAGGAATTAGAAACACCGAAATGTGTGTTGGGAACAGATAAGGCACTAGCCAAGTTTTTCAGATATTTTCAGACGTTTTGAAATAATTTTAATACAAAAGTCAACCAGTCACATTTCATGACTTGGCATGAACAACTCAACGATTTAATCAGTCCCTAGCTATAAGCCCATAATGTATTACTCCATGCAGTGTTACTACACACGGAAAACGAGCAAGTTGGCCAGGTGATCTCGTGTTCGTATTTTAGCCAATCAGCGTTCAGAAAGGGTTGTCCGAATAGAAATCCATTTTGATGTATTCAGTCAATTATATCTTTCATTATTCTTTATGAAACTAGTTGAAATTTTGTAATTATGTTTGGTTATGAGAACTATAGCTCTGACAAAAATATGGAATCAAAATAAAGTATATTACAGGAGATATTCAGTTGTTTTAATCATAAAATGGATTTCTATTTGACAACTAGTGCCAGTACTTTTCCGCGTATCAAGATCACCTGGCTTGTTATACAGATCTGTAAACAAGTTGTAACAAAATTGTTGTCAAACCAATACCAATAGACCTTTCCCCTTATAACCAAAATTTTGATCTAGGCAAGTCTAGACAAATATTTCATCACAGCTTGAAAGAGCATCACAAAATTAGTAATATTCCAAAGTTTCGTTGCGAAATGTTGTAAAATGAGGAAAATAGAGCCTTGCGAAGTTTCCAATTTTCAGTCATTTTGCATTACAAACGGGAAATTGCAGCCCCAACACCCGAATCGGATGTCAATTTCCCGTTTGTAATACAAAATGACTGAAAAACAGCAAACTTCGCAAGGCTATATTATCCGCATTTTACAAGATTTTGCAACAAAACTTTGGAATATTACTAATTTTGTGACGCTCTTTCAAGCTGTGATGAGATTTTTGTCAAGATCGAAATTTTAGTTATAAGGGGAAAGGTCCATTGTGTTCGTACTGCCTGTTCTGTCCAGTTTTTGTGACAAGTCTGAAATAAGTTGTTATCACGTTGTTGGAAGGTTGATGACGGTAACGCGGACTTGTTACAAGACTATAATAGATGCTGCTGAGCCGCTGCTCGCAACAAGTCGCTACGAGTTTGTTGCAATCAATTTGTTAACAACTTGTTACGTGCAGACGATATCAGACTTGTTGGAACAACCTTTTGCGACTCTGTTGGCCTCATCAACCTTGTTAGAATCTGATAACAACAACAACTTGTCAACAACTCGGAACAAGCAGTGCGAACGGGACAAGCTGTGAGATAGTTTTACGTGTGTACATGAGAAAACCAGAGTAGCCGGGGAAACCCGAGGTGTCTAACTGGAAGCACTCTAGACTACATGCACTACCCACCATGGCTCTGAGACTGACACCTCGTGAAATGGTGAAATGAAGAGTATATATCGGGTGAAACTGAACACACACAAAATTAACCTTCATATTTATTGTTGAATTTCCCTGTAAAATTCGATAAGATAAAGTAGGAACGTAGACTCCACCGTAACTTTCTCCAGTGACAAAAAACGGATTCTTTACAAACTGAGGAAATTTCTTGAAGAAATCCAGCAAAGCCACATAGTTGTCCATTGAGACCTATAATTTTGTTTAATTCCAGTGAACAGAGGATATCACATTATGATACTTCTTTATTAGGTGTGTGAATGGCGCAGTTAGGCTGATTTAAGAACTTATATACCATAGAACACAGATGATATTTTAATTTAAAGTATGTCGATTGAATGAATGAACTTGCACAAAAAAAAATTGTTTGATAATTCTACATAGTATAGTCACTCGTTTTTTGGACATACTCACAATATCGTCATTAGTGGTATAATTTTTATCATCAGAATATGAATATCCAACTCCAGCTGGAGATTCTAAATACAACATGTTTGCAACCTGTTTTCATTAGGAGAAAAACAAAAAAAGTAATGAGCTGCTATGAAGAGGATTTGACCAAATTAGAGAAGTTATGAATGACAAGGGCAGATTTTCAATTTTTTAAAAGGAGTGGAAAAATTTCTAGTGGGGTGCAAGTGGCACCACTGTGTGAGCTTCAGCAGGGGTTAGGCGTTAGGGTTAAAGACTTTCACACAAAATAGGAAGGGTGAAGCAAAATTCTGGTGGGGTTGAACACTTTATAAGAGGGGTTAGGGAGATTCTAGGAGGTTTAACACCCCCCCCCCAGTAAATTAATTTTTTATGAATTATAAATTAATGGTCTATTTATCATCGTTGTGAGGTGCATGTATATATTTGTATATTTTTGTACAATTTAAATATTGACAATTCATGTTGTAAATAATTATAATTTTGATGCAGGACCCCACTGAAAAACACGCACGTGATGTGGGTATCCTGGATAAATATAATTATTATTATTATTATTAAATTCACCCATGATGTATGTATGGCATAGTATCAAACCCTCTTTCTAAAATATTCGTACAAGCAATCTATGCAAATCACCTTGTTCCAACTGTATGGGTTATAATGCAATGTCTTTCCATCAGAATTCACCTGATATAAAAATAGGTACACATTGGGGTACTGCATATGAATCCTGCTATAATAGACTTCTTACATTAAATCATTTTAGTTTTTGTTGAAAAATAAATTTCATTATTTTATTGTCTAAAAATAAACTGTATACATGTAAAATATTAAATACAATTAACACACAATATTTATCAAATGATAATCATGACAGGTGACAATACCAAGAAGGGACCATGTTCTGACAGGAAGCCGTCCAATGAACTACACCCAGGTCCGCCATTCAACCACAGAACTACAGGATCACTTTCGGGATTACCCTGGGACTCAACAAACCTTTAAAATAGCATATTGATATTTGATAACTTACAGTGGTTTATTTATAATACACGAATGTCTTAATGTGTTAAGTATTATTAACTGCCTAAGTAGCAATGTGCCTTGATGCACCCTATTTTATTTTACTTGTGAAGAAGGGGAGAGTGCTGGCACCACTCTGTGGGTTAAAGTTGCAATACTCGATCCCTATGCCTCTAATAAGGCCGATTTACACTACACTGACAACTTTTGCCTAAAACTGTTGCATGCGACCAGCTTACAACTTGAGTTGTACTGTGTAAATCAAGCACACAACTCACCTACGATAATGTAGGCAAGCTGTGTGCTTGCTGGATTTACAACTCAAGTTGTATAAAGTACAACTCAAGTTGTATAAAGCAGGTTGCAAGCAACTGTTGGAACTTGTAAGGGAGTTGTGTGCTTGATTTACACAGTGCAACTCAGGTTGTAAGCTGGTAGACATATAAATTGGCATTTACTTTATTATTTTACTGAGAGTTCATGAGAGTGGCAGTCAAACACGAGCAAGATTCACTTGGGAATTTTAATTGTCAATGGTTAATTATTAGCCAATGTTTAATGTTCACAAACTATTTAGATTTTAGACTTACCAATAATGAAATTTCTTCGTGCCTTGAGCATTGAGGTAGCCTGAATATTGTTGGAACGTTGGTTGATGCGGAAGCCCAGGCAAAAACGAAACTATGTCGTCTTTTACCGACAGTCCGGAGCAAAACGCGATGCATACAAAAACTATAAACAAACTTGTGTCAAATGTGTTCTGCATATTTGTAAGAACAGTACTTGCCTGACCAAACCTATTCGAGCAGTTGCGTGACTTTAAGTACTTTTTATAATGTACAAAACTCTTTAAAGAACAGGTTTTGGAAACTGACTTCCGTCTTTAAGTATCATATCTTGTCAAAATATTGAATTATTTGCATAAAATGCTATTTGGCACATTTTGACATGTCGATCAACATGCACACCCGATTCACAGGTTTGACAACCGGCCACGGAAAGCCCACCCCCCTGGAGCATCTTGAATAAACACCAATAAACGGTATCTTCAGGGGGGAGAAGTATACTTTAATATGTTAAAACGAAACCAAAACATGTTTTTGTGTTATCTTTAAATATTGGTATTAAAAAAGAAAGCTAGAGGGTGATAATTGTAACACAGGATTTTTTCAGAACGGTATGTATAAAAATATTAATAACAAGTTCATAATTATTGATTATGACTAATGTACTTATATATGTACATCAATTCATCAAATATGGCTGTCAATTTATGCAAGGCGTTTTACTTTGATCGTCTGTTTTGAAGTACAAAGCCAAATAGCAATCTGAATGTATTGAAAAAGCTATTTATACAAGCTCTGATTAATTTCTTTTCACTTACATGACAAACAAGATGGAAAGTTTATGCTTGCATGAGGATGTTTTGAGTATTTATTAAATAACTCTATTTTCGTTCTCAGAATTTGCTACAATGATTTCATTGTCTGATGCAGTTCGTTTGGAATCGAGCAATCCTGCCGTAAACACTCTCAAACCATGGTGGGAAGTTTGGATCGATTATACACTAAACGCTTTCCTGTTGGTCGTTCTATTTGCCTTGGCTGGTGTCACAATCTCAGGCACCCCCGGTCTTGTGTGCCTACCAGCCAACACTAACCTAACCTCATTGAATTATGCGGCAAACTTCTATGCTAACGCCAAGTGCACCACCCATGTCGACGGCCATATTTTGGTTGTGTTCCCGTACATCATATTTGCTCAATGGGCGATCCTTTTTACGCTACATTTGTCCTGGTTTAATCTCCCCTCTGTGAAAGCATTCCTCGCTTCATCATTCGACACATTTCAGATATTGAAAAAAGAAGGAAACCCTGCTATTCAAGCCAAAAAGAAATCAAACAAACATTTGGAAATGAGAGAAACTAGTACAAAACCAAACAACCGTTCAAATTCATTACCTAATTCCCAAGATGACGGCGACGATGATGACCCATTAAAATTGGGTAGAAATGCAAGGCTTGTGTATCTTGTAGACTTGTTGCAATACCTGTCACAATTTAGATACAACTTAGTGAACTTATACACTATGAAATCCGTTGCAACTTGTGTCCTAACAGCGCTCCTCAGTGCTGGGCTAATTTCATGGCTCGTAGCATTCCAATGGAGAACAACTTTTACATGTGATCTACAAGGCTCCCTCCCGCCCCCCTTTGACCACAACTCATGTTCATTCCCTGCGGCACCTTACGTCTACAGCATAATGATCTTAAATACCATCTTCACAATAGTTTTGGGCATGTTCAATCTCCGAGCATTATTCTGGCTTGCCAAATTCAGGTATGACATGAAAATAGGCAAGGGTTGGGGTTAGTATTACAGGTAAACTATGTGAAGCGTTCCTTTTTTGACTTCCTATAAACTCATTTGGAATTTTCCTTTAATTAGCTTTGCAAATTTGAAAAACTTTTTGCAAATCCTTGAGGGAATTTGCAATGTTCCTATCTGCTGTTGCAATATTCCAATGCAAAAAAACTTCATTTAAAATTTTCCTAACTTCCTGTTTTAATTTTCTGACTTCCTGTTCTGTTCTGAGCGTTGTCATTGGTGGATTATTTTTGTTTGCCAATTACAATGTGCAAAACAGAACAGGAAGTTAGGAACTTGTAACAGGAAGTTAAGAACTTCTAACAGGAACTGAGGAAAATTTAATCAGCTTTAAGCAACATTGTAAATTCCCTCAAGGGAGCTTTTTAAATTGCAAAGGTAATGAGGAAAATTGCAATCAACTTAGAAATGCAAAAGAGGAATGCTTGACATAGTTTACCTGTAAGAGTATGGTTAGGGTAAAATCTTCATGGTTGAAAATATTTTACTGCAGTTTTGTTACACATGCAGGTATTCAGATATTATTCAAAAGCTTCCACAAATTATTGGGGGAGAGGGGGCTGTCACCCTTTGCTCTGAAATTGACCTCAAATAAACACATCCCAAAGTTGCTCACTATATAGGGGTGCATCCACTGACCAATGTTTTATATTGATCGGTTGGTTCATTTTTCTTCCCCAGGTACAAATACAGGAATTACCAACACAGAAAATGGCACTGTAACCACCCTCTGCACGGCAAACCCGGCTTCTACGATTACTTCTTTTGCATTCAACTATTGAAGATAAACAATGCGGAAGGAGATGTTGTTTTCAAAACAATGGAAGAGGCTTTTGAAATATTTCAAAGTAAACTACCCGAAGAAAAAAATCAGGTGGTATCCGAATCATCTATGATCATCCCGGAAACACCAAACCATTATAAAAATCAGTTTGTTTTGACTGAAGTTTTGCGTGAATTAGGAATGAGCACTAAAAGATCCAGCCGTGATGATTTGTGGGCAGCCTTGGCTAATAGCTTGGACCAGAATAAGCCACCTTTATCTTCTAAGAAGCTCCTGCCTTGTATACACGAAGTCAGTAGGCGTGTTGTGGCAGAGTTGTTAGAGAAGCATGCATTGTTTAAGGATTTGATTAATAAAGATGACCGTTGCCCAATGTTTGAAGATTATATCGAAGATCTCAAATTGGACAAAGTACGCGAAAAAGGAATAAAAGAAGACCACTACATTTTGATGGCCTTTGCCATTGCATACAAGGCTAATATTGTTATTGTACGTGCCGAGAAAAGCTCGTTACTCTACGAACCGGAAAAACCTGAAGAGAACCAATCAGTCTGGTTTATAACCTTCATACCACCGCATTACTATTATGCAACAACTACAGACCCCAACGCAAGCCCTGAGGAAAGTGCTGGCTTGAAGTTCCTCACTGATCAAATTTATCAAACGGAGTTGTTGAAAGAGGTGAATGATAGATGGGAATCCAAAGGATTCATGGAGTATAAGAGCAATTTAGAGAGTATTTTCCTCAAGAGTTACACTACCAGTCTCCAGCTTACCTCAGAGATGTCCCAGTGTCTCACGTGGACAGGAAAGATGAAGGTTTGAGATATCGAGTCAGTAGATCGAAATCAGATAAAAAGAAGATTGAACATTTTGCACTCATGGACTCGGTTTGAATCCGTCAGACACTTTAATCCAAAATACTGCAAAAAGTTGCTATGACACTAACAATATATTAGTCTAAGTGTTTAAAATGAGCAATCGGATTTACAACAGTTCGACGCAATTTCTGACAAACAGCCCCTGATACAGATATGTTAATAAATTATATTAACAGGAAATCAGTGACAGTGAGCATGAACTGCTTTTCATTTTTTGACACGTTTCATTCTCATGACATTTAGCCAAGGTTTGAATAAAATTCAGTACTTCTAGTCTTCTAGCAACAAAGAATATATTGAAAATTTCAATTGAGCATAAAACATTTAATGATCCATGCCCATGCATGTTGTAAATTGGGCTGGACTCGGAAAACACGAACTCTGATCTTCAAAACATGGACTCCCTCAGTCCGCGATTTGGAAAACCGAGTCCTTGATTGTTGTAAATGGACAACTTGCATATGTTAGATTAAGTTTTAATCTAGTACTAAAGAGAAGGGAATCGAACACCACCGCTAAAAGGAACAAAATGAAATTAGTATAAACATTGCAAAATTTGGTTGTGAAATGATATAAAGCTTGGAAAATATAGTCTTGCAAAGTTTGCAAATTTTGTATATGTTTGTATTACGTGCGGAAATTGTTACCATTTTTGGATCAAATTTTGCAATTGTACTAATTTTAATAAGTTCTTTGACTTTACGGGAATTTACTTTTTTTTGCCTAGATCAAAACTAACATGCATGTTGTGTATTATTGTACATGTATTGAACTTCAGTCCATCTTGTACAAATTGCAGGTCGAGTCCACTCGAGTGCAGTTTAAGTTTTCCAACATGCCATTCTTGCAGATTTGCCTGGCGGTAATCGCGAAAAACATCAACCAGTTCGCCGATATCCTATTATAAAGTATAAACAGTGCAAATAATATCTGGAATTACGGATTAAAGCTTCCCCAAATGACAAACGTGATGATAAAACGTCAATAATAAACAGTTTAATTATTTCTTTATTATTTTAACAAGCATTTATACGGTACAAAGACTTTTTTGTAAACGTAGAATAAATTTGCCATAGGCATAGCCATAGGAACGATAAGCAATTTGCAATAAGGCGAAAATTCTCGCGGATTGAATTCCACTTTCTGCAACGAATAAGCGTGCGAAAATGCATTTGCCGATTTGGCTTAATCAATATTTAATAAATCACGCAAATCCTTTGTGGATTAAAGTAAAGAATTTGCAATGACTGACTACAAAAATTCCTCGCGGATTGAATTCAACCTATGATTCAACTTTCTGCCAAAATGCAATTTGCCAATTTGGCTCTGACGTGTGCAGTAACAGCAGTTTCAGGGGTAATACGTGACCGACTTAGTAACCGCACTTATATTTTACTTAAGTGTTGCAACGTATGATTGTTAGATCGAAATAAAGGCGCTATGATTGGTTGATTGTAAGCAGATTTGAATATTTTTGGTTTGGGCAATTGAGTAATAATCTACCGCTGTTTTCGCAGTTGTGTACGTATATTTTAGTATCGTGCTTGCGAAATTGCTTCGCCTTTGCAAAAATGAAAATCGATGGCGCAGTAGCGGTTGTGACTGGAGGTGCGAGGGGAATTGGGCTAGAGATTACCCGTACCTTACTCGTACATGGCGCATCAAAGGTAAGCTAATATATCAATTACTCATGAAGACTGACGAATGACTAGTGGCCAAATCGTTTCATCTCACAACAAGTTTTTGCCAGTTCCAATGCGATTTCACAAAAATGTCAAACCGTTTTGTACACTGAAAATTCAATATTCCTAATTGTAAGCCCACGCATTAGTGAATTGTCAGTTCCAGCGAATTCCCACTGCATACTTGGAAACTGTATACCTCCGCCGGCAATTTAAGTTATGTCTGGCAAAGCAACACAACGTTTTGTTAATTTCGCATCCAATTTTTATCCAAATTTAAATCAATTTGTCATTGAGCAATGTCCGTTGGTCCGACAAACTTTCGTATTAATACTGGAATACTGGTTTGATATTTTTAAAAAAAATTATCGTGCTGACAGATTATATTAACACAAACAGACAAATACAAATGAAAAGCAAATATCTTATTTACACTAACTGCTTTTCTCGAGCCAAGTAGACGTTGACCTGCTTTTTCCCGTACCTGGTATTTATAAAATACTTACATTCATCGGGTTCTTAATGCTGCAGACTAGTCACGAGTCTGGTTTAGGAATGCAACTGATCGAACCGAATCGGTCTAGCGTGTATTTGTATAGAGAATGGCCTGTTCGTATTTTTGATAATTTGATTTGTTCAAATTATTAAAACCAGCACTTTAAAATATTTGTGAAAGAAACAGTTAATAACGTTATTTGAAAATTTGTAAGTGAATCGATGGGCCAACAGTGTTGTGTCGGTTTGAGACTTTGAGTACGACTCTCAACCTCGGATCAGTCGGATGAGAGTAATTGGCAGGTCACGTGTCACGCGACCTTGATTAGCTTAGCCTTAGCTGAAACCTTTATTTTATTATAAATATATCTAGAGCCTGAAATGTCCCCTGTAGGCTGTAACAATGCATGACTACTATGACTGCCAACTCTCATGATGTCCATGATCAACTATTCAACTCTCATTCTCGTTTGACTTTATACGTTTACACGCTGCGATTTGTCGGGCCGATTTTCACAAATAATTGTTGCCCCTTCTTCGACATTTAGCGATTTAAACGTTCAATTGAAGCTGTCCTCTCTCTCGTTTGTTCATAGTTTTCTGCGTGCGAAAAGTTTTCAACAACGTACTTTACAACGGAAGAAAACCCCCTTCAACGTCGCCTTCATACGTCATCAAAATAACGATATGACTGACCTTGATTCAACACTAAGACACTTTTAAGATCGATCTAAATCACTTCAGCGATCTCCAACCGAAACGAGGTCGGGTCCTTCAGGCTTCAACTTGTGCTAGTGTTCACACTTGCACAAAAACTGGAATGAAACTCGAATTCACTGCCGTTAATAAGCGGGAGATGCGTTAATAAGTGGGGGAGATGCCAGACTGCTAAGCAAGAACTGATCCGAGACCACCTCTCGATCGAACTGGTAATTACTGAATTATATAAATTGCTAGTGTGATTGTGTAGTGTCTCGCCGGTCGGTCAAGGACTCGTGATCATGATCAAGGTCAGGCCTATCAGCACGTGACCTTTTCTAAGTAGCCTACGGGTGCGTTCAAACTACACACGTAAAAATCTCACAACTTGTCAACAAGATGTGTTCGCAACAGGCTTGTAGCAAACTTGTGAACAATTTGTAACAATACTGTTATTTTATCAAATTACTACAAGGTTGTGACTCACAACTTGTTGACAAGTTGTTGAATTGCAGGACGATAACAAGTTGTTGGAACAACTTGTAGCAAGTCTGTCGAGTTCAACAACCTTCCAGCAAGTCGACAACTTGTCAACAAGCTCGCAACAAGCAGTGCGAACACATCTTGTTGACAAGTTCTTGAAACAGGATTGCTACAAGTCTGCTGCAGGTTTTCTACAATGTGTGCGTTTTTACGTGCGTATACATCGATTGTGTAATTTCAGATTATACAACCTGGAGTAATACAAACGTTTCCAAATTTCTCATGCAATATTTAACAAATATAAAACATTTTCCGTGTTGATATACAGTTAAATCAACACGAGTGGAAATTTGGAAAACGAGAAAATTGTGTGCCGAAACACGACGGCCGGAGTGTTTTCACACAATTTCGAGTTTTCCCAATTTCCACGAGTGTTGATATAACTCTATATCAATATGGAAAAATGTTTTATATTTGTTTTATAATAAGCACAAAGAAACATAAAGAAAGAAATTTTCCGAAGTTTCCGTGTTGACATTGAGTTATATCAACACGGCTCTTAGCCAATCAACGTTCAGAATTTACAAATGCTATATTATAATCATTCTTATCATTGAATGCGACCAAAATGTCGTTTGGCGTACTGCCCTTTCGCACTAAAATGTTTGATAGTTTTTTAGTCTTCTTGCTGGCAAAAACAAACGAACACACACACTAACAAAATATGAACACACTTTCAAAGGTCGTCTTTTTGGACATTGATGAGACTGAAGGCAGGACGACCGAGAAGGAACTGCAAGCAACTTATGGTGAAGATCACGTGACATATATGAAATGTGACGTCATGAATGGGACTGAATTTCAAAGTATACTGCTTGAACTTTTTAATTTGTTCTCGTATATCTATCCACTTTTCCCCACTATGAGACTTTGTGAATGCATGCAACAGTAAACGCATACAACATTAATAGTTAATTGTGTAGTTTAAATCATGTTTTAGATGTCTTGACCAAAATTTCGGGAGAAAATCATGGTATTAATATATTTTGCAATAATGCCGGTGTCCTGGACAATACGAACTGGAAACGGATGCTTGAAATCAATTTGGTAAGTTTTACAATTTTAATAGACGGTTGCAAACTCATTGAATCAGTGGTTCTTTAAACTAAATCTTTCAATTCTACTTACTACACTGAAGACTAGTCTGGACGAACTAGAACTTCTAGAGTTCTAGCTAGTCCTACAAATAATGAAAAGAATTAATATTATTTTTTCACTCTGATAACCATTAGTTGGCCGCTTATTGAATCCGACCGATTACTGTGAAAATTCACAAGTAATTTCTTAATCACTGCATGTGTTCAATTCAGACGGCCATGATACAAGGTACGATGATCGCAATGGATTTGCTGGATAAACACAAAGGAGGACATGGGGGAGTGATAGTGAACATCGCTTCGTTAGCAGGTGAAATAACAGAATGCTAACTAACAATGCTAACTTCCAATCACTCGCATGTCTGAGTGAGTGCTTCCAGTGTTTGGGCAAGTGAGTGCTTCCAGTTGTTTGGGCAAGTGATGACCTTTAGAATTAGTTGAAGAATGGTAGGATAATGCCCTGCTTCGCCCGTATTTGCAATTGGTACGCAGGCTACGCCGATTGCGAATTTGTGAAAGTTTCCGTGGGTTATATGTTAATAAAATTGTCATTTAATTCCGTGTTTATAACAGGACTTCTACCTTATGAATTTTCGCCTGTGTATGCAGCAAGTAAACACGGTGTTGTTGGCTTCACCCGAAGTGTTGCTCAGGTAATATTTTACTTCATGTATACGTATATGGCTTAAATGCCCGCGTTTAATTAAAGCTAGCACAGCTCAACTACAGAAGGCGCGCGGTCTCACGCAGTCTCCAAAGTAGTCTGGAACTATTTTATTTTAGTCTGCACCCGACAAAGGAATCCGCTTGAATCTTGTCTGTCCGGCGTTTGTGAATACGCGAATGACAACTGCAATCACGGATGAAGATTGGATTAAAATGATAGAACATGTTGGCTGTGTCACGTAAGCTTGAATTTAGAGACGTAAATTTGATTCTAGTAATGATACATGCACTTTAGCTAAAGTTAGCATAGTTTAGGTTTTCGCCCGTAACATTTGAAGAATTTATTGAATCATCAGACCAGAACTGATGGAATTATATCCAGAATAGATGAAGCTAGTTTGGTTTAGTCTTTGTTGTTTTAATTCTTCTTCCTTTTTTTACTCTAGTCCTGACCTCGTGGCGAAAGCATTCCTTCAACTTGTCAATGACGACAGCTGTAACGGACAGGCTTTAACAGTAACACTTCAGAACGGGATTGATTTTCATTCTTTTCTTGAAGTTAGCGATCTAGTAGACAATTAGCGCCATTAACCATGTGCATCGCAGTGATCGCAGTGATCGCACAAGGTTAACATTTGCGTCAAACGCTACTTCGTACCAGGCGTCGTTTAATTTGTGTATTTAAAAGAGCGAGACTTATGATGGGATTACATCAAGTATTGCAACAGCTGGGGAAGCGCGAAGGGGCTTTTGGGAAGCGCACTTTTCTCAACAGCCCCTTCACTAATGCCGGAAGGTACTACCCCCCTAGCGCCGCTCACAGGGTTAATTAATGGGAAATGGGAAGGTCAGGGTTAATATTGTGTGTAAACACACTTGGTGAGAAGTCTAGAAACATGAAACTATATTCTCCAATTAGAAAAAGTAATTCACCGCAAGGCAAATAAGGACAAGGCCCCATTAAACTATACATCCAAGTCAGAAACAAAAATGGGCGTAAGTAAAAATCACTCGTTCGTGACGCTGTTTGTACTGGCGAGTCTCTCCTTGATTAAGGTAAAGCATACAGTTTAGTTGTAGAATTAAAGTTGACAACGAGTTTATTATATATAGCACGCGTCACACCTTGAAGCATTCGGAAATGACATGTCCATTACAAATAAATTCGTTTCATTCCTGCCGGTTATGTCTATGCCGAAAAGTGTTGCGCGCAGTTTTAAATATGTATAAAATTGCCCAAAAATAATATGCGCGGTTATTTAACTGCGTTAAATTAGTGTAATATGCGCGCGTATAGTTGTTTCACTACTGTTATTCAGTTTAGATAATACGATCGATTAACGCATTAGGGGATTGAATAATTGAACTGAATATTACTAATATACTGTTTGGCAACTTTTACCAAAGACAGCTAGCTAGTCGAGGTAACTTTAAATAGAAAATATAGTGAGTTCAGTGTATTGAGCAGTTACGATTTGTAAATTAAATTTGGGTGAACTGGAAGTAAATTACATTGTGTGATCAGCATTTTAGATCAAGGCTTGAAACCATGAACAACTCAAACGACTCATTCATTTGTTATACATCCATTTTATCAATTTCTTGTTTCTTACTTATCGTAGCCGAGATCGTATAGTCACCGGTTTTGCCATAAGGGTGAATGGTATTTTACGAACCAATCAACGTTACTGTAATTTCAATGTCATTGCCGAATTGTATATAATAGTGATTTACGATTTTGGAAGTCGCGTCTAAAAACTGTTTGCGCTCAGAAATGCGTCTTCATTTTGCAGTAGAAATGCATATACAAATATGCAGACATATGTAAGGTCAGGTTTCGGGTAATTAAACTAAATTATATCACATTTGCGTCGGTTTTCTTTGATCGTCCGAGGTTTATAACTAGCTTATATACCTTGAATAAATGATTGGATTAAACTTGTAGACAAAACGCGAGAATTTTTCATTAAAATTTTTGAAAATGACAAAATATGTTAGAAAACCTCCACAAATGTGATATAAGTTAGTTATAAACCTCGAAAGTTGGTTTATAACTGATAAATGGGCAATATATCAGTTATAAACCTCCTACTCGGTTTATAACTCTAACAAATGGTTAATTGTTTTAGCGGGTTTATATGTACTATAGTTTTTCTCAAGTGTATAAAGCTTTTGTTGATAGATTTTCAAAGTATATCACTAAACATTTTAGTTACAGATGTAAGCTTTGCGACTCTTATTTCTCACCCAAGGCGATTTTAGATTCACACCCTTTTATGAAAAGTTGATCTCATACTTATGTCCGACTTATTTTAAATTATGAGAAATAGTGCGCACAATTAAGTTTTGTATCATTGCACTTTTCGGGTTTCCTGGTAGGTGGTGTGGTGGTTGCTGTGGTTTTTGGGCGTTTTGTTTGATTTTTGGTGTTTGGTTTGTGTGTTATTTTGCGTTTCAATGGTGGTTTGTGGTTCGATGGTGGTTTGTGGTTCGATGGTGGTTTGTGGGTGCTTGCGATATGGATAAGTGTGCTCGACAACCCCTGTGGGAGATTGTCGTTTAGGTCTGTGGAGAGTGATGAGATTTGGCCATCAATTTTTGATGATTCCTCCGAGTGGTGTTGGTGCAGGATGTTTGTGAGGTGGGACATACAGTCCCGAATGCCATTGTCCCATGCTTTCTTGAGCTTTGGTGACAACTGGACCCAGGGTTGTACACTGATGTTGAGACCAGCTGGTGCTGTGTGGTTTGCGGTGGTTGAGTTCATTTTTGCGGTGGTTGAGTTCAACAAGTTTGTTGAATATGGTGGGTGTGTGTTGGTAGGAGTGATAGGTTCTTGAGGTGTGTTGGTGGTTTATGGAACTTATTTTTATATAATACACTTCTATCGCTTGGAGGCATTTTCGCGCATTTCCAGTGGGACCACTTTTGCGGAAATATGTAATAATTACATCGGAATTACAATGATGCCTGTGTTGAGTCTGTGACCTTATCAGTTGATTGATCATGAGAGCTAGATCAAAGATGTCAAATGTTTGAGAATTCTTCAAGTTTTTCTTAAATTTTGATTGAATGAAAGTTGTGGTTGAATTAAATTATTCAACTTTCGTTAAATGCTATAATTGCACGATGGTGACACGTGCACTACAGTAGTTTGGCGCTAGCTCATTTGGCACTAGTTCAGATGGAATACTTGAATATCTCGCTTGACACAAACCACGCATGCATGCATGTCAGTATAATCGCATAATCGGAATATGTGCTTCATGGGGTTTAACTCGGCACTATAAGCAGATACTCAACGGGCGGTGGACTATCACAGGGCGAAAATTAGTTAATTCTTTCCATTATATGTAATGTATTTGGAGACAAATAACTAGAATTGACTCTATTTGAGAGGCATATAGTTTAATTTACTCTGTATACGTGGCCCAATGCCGGAGTCTTGAAAGACGTGGCCCAATGCCAGAGTCTTGAAAGCATTTGCGCAATAACGGAACAGATTTTATCGCAAGGGATGCTGTGAGTATCCGGATAAGGAGACGTTTCCTATTTTCGTTCACTGCTGGAAAAACATTGCAGTTTTTATCGCACGAAATGTCTATGACCTCCTGTCGCAATTTGGCGGGGAAGCCGGCGGCAAATATTTTGACTGCAGGGTGTTCTTGAAGTAATAATTGTATGTGTTGAAAAGGTAAAACTTAAGCATCCTAAAATTAGCTTGCTATGGAAGAGCAGATTACGGTGGCTATCGTAGAATTAATGGCAGGAGCCAAAGAAAATTGTTCCATAAAACTCTTATAAAGATTTGTGATTGCATCATTTGCATGCATAACATAACTTACTGCGTGACCAGCCGACTAACGACATGTTACTATTCCTAGCAACTGCGCATGAAATTCTAATTAAGGCCATGTGTACACTATAACGCTATACGGCTAGCATTCTGTTGAAAATTCACTACGTTTCTTGGTTTACGGTAGCGTACTAACTACGAGAACCACGTACTACGCTTGGCACTCTAGATCAATGCAAACTCGATACGCTATGTAGCGTCATTATTGCCGTCGTCTAGCTGTTGCCGTGTTGGTAAACGTGGCCTTAGTGGCCTAAGATCAAATTTACTTGGTTTTAGGATAGGGAGAAGAGTGATGTCTACGTTCGGAAGTGAGTAACCTTCCCAATTTCCTTTTATTAAAATTATTTACACAGATTTTCAAAGTTCAAAGTTTGATATAAATTTTTTGCGTGAGCAGATCGTGCCGCAAGCAGAATAATATTTTGGGCTCACTTTTTCGATTTTGCTTTGTAACCAAGCCTGATCCAAGATGGCGGCCATCAGTTGCTAACATTGAACAATAAATAAACTGGAAGGCTAACTCAGGGGGGGAAATTGAAGCCAGTGCATTTTAGTTTTTCTGAGTTATGAGCAGAAATACTCAACACTGAACGTTGGGCTATATATCAAATTGAAGCTATTGAAAAA